GAAATTTGGCTAGATTTTGTAGAGGTGAGCCTATGGAGCTGACTATGGGTCTAAGTGGAGTTCCTTTTTTGTATATCTTGGGGAGACTCCAAGACTCCACTTACAAATCCCTAAACACAGACCCCACCACGTATCTGGAAAAAACCACTAGATCCAAAATAAAAGCCTCCCCCATCAGCGAAGAGATCCAGCAAAGAATCATTCCCAGAGAGAAATCATCCAGATGCCCTAAGCTCTATGTTTTAGCCTCTAATCATTTTTGTTGCTCTCCTGTATATTCTTTCCAGAGTCTCAACATCCTTTTTATATTGTGGCACCACAACTGGATGCAGTTTTCCAAGTGTGGTCTTACTAAGGTGTTATAAAACGGTACTGACACTTCGCATGATCTTGAGTCTATTCCTCTGTTAATATAGCCTAGGAATGCATTGGCACACTGTCACACCGCTGGCTCATATTTTAATGGTTGTCTAGTAGGAGTCCTAGATAACTCACAGTTGCTTCTATTGAGGATCCACCTATTCTATTCCCTTTTTAAAAGTTTTATTGTAATCTTACCCCTCACCCCTCATCATACATACTTTATGGGCAGAGTGCGGACTGGGTTACATTTTATGCATCTCATTTATAATCAGAACTTCAGTATATTCTAATCTTCCCACTTTCATCAATATTCATCTCTTTTATACAATCTTATCTTTCCCATTAATTCATTTAAACTTACCTATCTGCATAACCGGTCTGTAAAATACTAGGTGTTCCTCTTCTTACGTGGAATTATTCTGCAGAAAACCAATAGTAAAGATACATATAATTTTCATGGTTGTTCAATCCACAGCTTTCGTAGTGTTTCATCAGTATCTAATGAGAGTACTAGTTGGAAGGCCTAATCTACTGGAGCTGACTACAGAAGATTATTGGGATGATAATCATAGTTATATATTTAAAATCATTGTTCACAGTAAATTTTTTGAACAGGTAATACCCAAACTATTTTATTCAACTGTTGGATTTTACTGTGTAGTAGATCTCAAATGTTTAGGCGAGCCCTTTCTATCCAGTACATATTACACAATAAACTTGTTTTGATCTGCTTAAGTGTAAATCTCTTCTCAGGATAGGTATAATATAGGGAATGAATATTAAAGGAGTATTACAGAGATTTCAATCTGGACTAATATGCAGGACAGAATAAATGTGGAGTAGTTCAAAGAGTTGTAAACAAATGATCTTCTTCAGGCATTCTCAAGCAGTGGTTGTTATCCCTTCAATTCCCAAGTTTATTCCTGCCACCACAAAGGTAGATAGTGAACTCTAAGATGAAGGAAGCTTTGTGCTTCCTGCCAAAATAGACTTCCCAGGATCAATTGCCATGAAGGAAGGAAGGAA